TGAGGCCGGAAGATGAAGAGAATCACTTGGCTTTGGTTTGACAGTGGGAAGAGTGAGAGAGGAATTTGGCTTAGGAGAAGGAGAAATGGAGGTGCTGGGTTTTGCAAAGAGAGACTGAGAGCTGCATGTTTTAGGTTTGGTCCTTGGGAGGGTTGAAGCTCTTTCTCCATGGTTTCTCTGTGAAAGCTGACATGATTTACTCCTCGAGGGCGGGCTTGGTGTCTTGGATGTCCAAATTGAATCAAATGATCTGGAAAGAAAAAAATGTACCAATAATTACTAGATTATGTAGCACAAAAAATCCAAGACAGAAAAACAAACCTCACATTAATTTACCTGTCTGCCGTGTACAGCTTTGTGTTGTGTTTTTCAAAGATAAGTCCCTTCTCATCAAATGATGGGATGTGAATGGCTTTCTTCTTAATGACGGGAGAAGAAAGAGGCAGAGGAGGTGACAAACACACTTTTGGATGCTCCTTTGTTTGTCTGCTGGAGTCAGGCACTCGTGGGATCAAAGGTGCCAGACGGTTAAAAACACTCATTCTGTTTTAGCAAGACAAAGATGCAAAGAAAGACTAATCACATGATGAGAATGAAGAAACTAAGAAAAAATATAACTTGTTTTATATGAATAGAATAGAATAGAATTCAACTTTATGCCAAACATCATTTCTATAAACACTGTCCAAATTAATAGAAAATGTGGGAATAACATTCTTAAAAAAATACTCAAATTAACTGAAGTGCAAGTTTCAATTAGATTTTTTCCTATTGAATTTTACTTAACAAGCAGCACTTCACAATATTAGACCATACAGTGTTAGAGGTAGGACCCATAAATCAGATAATCAATGTAGAGAGAAACACGGCAACAGCAAGGAGGAAGAACTCTCCACTTAAGGAGAAGCGAGGAAAGAGAAACATAGAAAGACTGCAAATGACAAACAGGACAAACTTTTAATAAATATTAAAGGGGTAAGATAAAGAACAGAAATATCTGCAAACTACACTT